GAAGACCGCATAATTAGTACTCGACTACTCGCACAGCAAGTAGAAACCTCATTTCGTACCGTACACCGCATTTAAGGCGCCAGCTGTTGCACCCCTATCATCTGCAACTAGTTCAACAGATTTTACCCCCGGATTGTGATCAACGAATGCGTTTTTGCAGATGGTTTTTACGGCAATGTGCCAATCAAGTAGAATTTCCTGCTTATGTTTGTGTAACAGATGAGGCGACATTTACCCGTGATGAAGTGAATTTCCATAATATGCACATATGGGCCGATGAAAATCCTCACGCGATTAGGGAAACTCATTTTCAACATCGGTCTCGGTAAATGTTTGGGCTGGCATAATAGGCGATGTACTTGTGGGTCTTTGAAGGACGACTAAATGGACCAACATATGCTGACTTTTTGGAGAACCGGTAGCCTGAATTATTGGACGATGTGGTATTATAAGTTCGAGCACGCATGTTTTATCTTCAAGATAGGGCTCCACCACACAGTACTCGAGAAGTAACGACACTTTTGAATTAAATGTTTCCTCAGCAATGAATTGCTGCGTCCGCATTGGTCGTGTGCCGTGGCCACCTCGGTCACCCGATCTAACGCCAATGGACTTTTATCTTTGGAGTCACTCGAAGTCATTTGTTTGCAATACTCCAATTGCTACGGTGGAAGAATTTCGAAACTGTATACTTGAAGCTACTGACACAATTAAGGGAATACCTGGAATTTGGGAAAATATTCGCCAAAATTGGGTATAATAAGAAAATGTCAGTTTTTTTTTAATATCAATTTTTCTTAGTTTTTATACTATTGCATTGAAAAATTCCCCAAAAATTGAGAAGTATCCTTCTATCTTTCAACGACGATTTGTACATCGTACAGCACACGGACAGGACCGTTCCAGAGAAAATATTTTGATCCATAATTGAACTTTAATTTACGAAAAAGAAAAAAACGCAAAAATAGAACTTTTTCGTATAAGACTTTTATCACAAATATCGTTAGGAAGCTGTAGTTTAATTTGTATAGATTATACACGCCACACCCTGTATATTGTATAATACGTGTATGTATTTGTGAAGCATAATATTGCCGTTCTATTTTTGGCTTCATTCAATATATTCAATAACATGACAAAAACAAACCTTTTCTGGCAAATAAATCGATACTGGGGAAGTTTTACGAATTTTCTGATTTGCGGCTATTTAGTAAAGCAGTATCTTATAGCGATTACTTCAAATGGAATCGGTATTTTCCAGCGACCCTTCCAATCTACCAATTTTTGATCAAAGAAATTGATTATCTATTGGCCAACTTTGGAAACTTCTGAGGACTTTTAATAATACGAATTTTAATTACATTATAGAATACTATTGCGTTTTCTTCAATTTTAAAAAATATGTGAAAACTAATGAAATGAAAAAACATAATATACAGTCTTTTATGTTAAAGAAAATATGTAGTATAGCAAATTGTTAAAGGATAAGGTCAAAAGAGCAGTGACATATTCAAATTCGGTCTGTCACTACTGCAATCGTTAATCTTTCTAGGTCGCGTAAATTATTAAGCAAAAAAATCAATACACTAACTACGTTCTATACGCCAATATAAGCGTCTTCAATTTCATTACGTGGACTTAAAACACAAAAAAAAAACGGTGACGTTACAACAATGACAACGTTGTTAAATATTTCTTTTCGCCCGGCATTCCCTGCTACACCTCAGTATGATAATTTTTTCGCCCACCTGTTTAAAGATCATCGGCCTTCAACTTTAATAAAATCTGCATAAAAATCGTAGTGAATTCTGACTTGATAACGATCTAGTTCTCTGAAACTAGTTCTCGTTCAACTCTGAAAGGCATCGAACGAAAGTGAATTTAAAATATTTCACCTTCGCTGCTAGATCAATTGGGGTCAAATCAGGATACCCGTGGGGATCCCTAAGGTTAGTTTGATGAAGGATTGAAATTGTATTTACCTTGGCAATTCTGCCATGTGTTGTATTACCGTGTTGTTAAGCTGACAATACCGATAACGGCAAATAAAAACAACGATAAATAATAACAAAAACAATCGAAAACCATATATTGGAAAAAAAAACAATTGAAAAGTTGAAGATGCAGATTTTAAGTTTAGTGTCGAAACTAGGCAAGGTTTGACAAACTTCCGATGCAAACAAAAATCTGAGGAAATTGAATTTAAGTTTTTTACTTAAAATTTTCCTGGAAATTTTCTGATATTTTTCCGAATTGTTATTTCTAATCTTATACCGCGAAAACGAAGCGTTTGCGGACATTTCTTCACAGGACTACTTTTTATCTTCACTGCTCGAATTCAAATTTTAAATTTGAAAAATTATTCAGTTTATATAAAAAATATCATTACAGGTTTTTCTGTATTTTCTTCTAAATTGCCTGATTCCCAGGGTCAATTTTGCAATTAACTGACTTTTCCAAATTGCCCATATCTTTCAGGGTTACTGGAAATCACAGCATAAAGGCTATAGATTATACAGGGTGGCACAAAAGTATGGAACCCCCTGAATAACTCGTCAGGAGTGCATTTTCTTGAAAAATTATGTATACAAAAGTTTTAGGATTTTTCCCTGGCTATTCAATGGCGCCCTTGTATTCCACCTTGATCTTGACCTTTAAGGTCCACAATAAAAAATAGGGGTTCCCATTTAAAAAACTTAACTTGACCTTCAAATGACCTTGAAGAGCAAAGTCAAGGTCAAATCCAAGGTCACCATCAGATAGACAGGGAAAAATCTTTACACTTTGGTCTGAAACATTTTTTCCCAAAATCCATTCTTCGAAAGTTCTGCCGTACCGCCACTTTTGGAAGTCGACCCCCATTTGACCTTGAAGGTCATTGTCAAAGTCATGGTCAAGATCATTTTTGGACGTAAAATTTCCTGCTCTTCCCAAATCTGCAATAAAAAATAGGGGTTCCCATTTGAAAAATCAATTTTGACCTTGAAATGACCTTGAAGGTCAAGGTCAAGGTCGAATACAAGGGCGCCATTGGATAGTCAGGGAAAAATCCTAAAACTTTTGTATATATAATTTTTCAAGAAAATGCACTCCTGACGGGGTTTTCATACTTTTGTGCCACCCTGTATATAAAAAAACAGGGTTGACGTTCGAGCAATTTTATGGCATGAATCATTCTAAGGATCATTTTAGATGAAAAAACCGCGGAGTGCTATTAAATTAGAGCGTGGAAATTGGAGATAGGGGTGAAAATGCACTTCTTTCAGATTTTTTATTGTAGCTCGAAAATGAAGCAAAATTTCGCTATAGTTCATAGGAAAAATTATTTAGAAAATTGAATTTCCCATCGAAACGGCTTATTTAAAAAATTTAAAAGGAAAATTGTATGCAAAAAATCGTTAATAAACAATTTTACAAAAAGCAAAAAATTCGGTTTTGATTTTTTTTTTACTTTTTTGCCTCTAGTTTTTTTCAGTTAAGATAGGTATAGATTGCATTAAAAAAGTAGATAAAATTTCCATAAAAAAAGTGGTTCTACAGTATTTTTGGATGAGAATTAACTGATCCGCTCAAACCTAGCCAATTTTTCGATTTTTGTCGCGTTTTAATTCTCATTTTTGCAAAAGAGGAAGGATTCTTTCAAGGATTTTTATCACATGACTTGTTCGAAGGGTCATTAAAATTGAAAGAACGTGGGATGCTATTAAATTGGAGGGTTGAAATTGAAGATAGGGGTGAAAATTCACTTTTGCAGTTTTTAAAAGTACACTACTTAATACAGAAAAATTTCTATAATAAAAGTTTATTAGAAAAAAGAGAGCTTTTTAACAGGAACATGACAATTCTCCTGCACATTCAGCTTTGTCAATTTTGTGCTAAAAATGAGATTACTGTCCTCCCTGACCCTCCTTACTCGCCGGACTTGGGTCCTCGCGATTTGTTCGTATTTCCGAAGAATTTCAGATTATTGATGACATCAAAGCAAATTCGTCATAGACCTTAAAGGCCATTTTAAATGAAGCTATCCAGGACTGCTCCGCGAAATGGAAACACCGCTCGGAGAAGTGTGTGATAAGGGAGGAGAATACTTTGGAGGAGGCAAGAATCAATAATGTATAAAATTAAAAACAAAGTTTAAAAAACGTTCGGTTATTTTCTCAGCAGACCTCGTATATTAAGTACTTTAAAGAGGTGCTAAAATTATACAAAAATATAGCGAAATAGTAATAAAACTATAATCATATCTTCAAATTAATAATTTCTGTATTGTTATAGGAAGTCCCGAAATTAATAATATTATTAGTTTTATACACAAATTCAAAAGAATACACGGTTTCACATAAGTTACATGTCAATAAATTAATTGTCAATAGTAGTAGATTTGTTTCCAAATAACCGAAACTTACTATGGTAGTTTTAAGTAACTGTAGATACTTTTAATATTGAAAATTAAATTGCAACCAAATTAAAAACAGTAAATAAATCGAAAACGATTAAATTTATCGATATCGATAAAACAAGTATTTCTCATTTGTGTAAAATAAGTAAGAAAATAATATTTTTCTATTATAACTTTAGTACACACACTGAGAAAAAAGTTATGATCAATTTTTATCAACAAAAAGTACATTTTGTAGCGACCTCTAACGTCTACAGCACAATTAAGTCCGGATTCGTTTTCCTAGACCTAGAAAAACCCCGAAAAATTTTAAGAAGAACTTTTTTATATCCACAAATGGACTAAGATAAGTTCAACAATGTCGCACTATTTTGATGTAGCGGAATCTACCATTGCTCTGTATCCAATTAATTTTGGGACACAATGTATATTAATAACGATCATTTAATCCGCTTGCCTGCACAATTAAAAAATTCTTATTACGGCCCTGATCATCTCTATTCAAGGTCACCGAAAACGACTGAATGAGATCAATGGAAATTGCTGGTTTACGTATGTCGTGCTTTGAGGAACGTTGTACTACTGTAAAATCTTTACTTACCACTGGGGCGGTGTTATTGTTATACTCCTCCCTAACATAACAATATTCGTTCGATGCGTTCGTGTACTTGCTTTCTGGCTGCTCGACCATGGCGACGATGGTCAAGTTTATGTCGTTCCTCATCATAAACGAAACCAAGAACCCCGACCATGATAAAAGGTAGAGGACGAGACGGGCTGGGACCTGACCTGTAACGTAAAAGACGCCGTAGTGCTTACTCGCAAATTAAGAAAAATAGGCCGAAGCGTAAATAAGTAATGAAGCAGGTAATGAGTGCCTATTATGATACCAAGGTCGTTTTTCAATTAAAATGTTTTTGGTTCTAGACGTACCCCTTTTTTTGTAAACAGTTTAATTAATACTTAGATAATGCTTTAAAAATATCTAATAATATCTCTTTTCGTTGCCTAGATACGAGACTGAGGACTTTTATGTGGAACACCCGGTATAGATATTGGAAACTTCCTGGCGACAATCAAATAAATAAACAGTAGTTATCTGTATTATGCTAGTAAGCGGCAATACGTGTTGTAGTAGCAGAAATAGGATAAATCTGTGGCCAAGCCGTGTGCCGCTCTATGCTCACGATACGCAATGCTACTGACTGCCATAAAAACACGTGCCATACACTAGACCAAGCAAAAAGTCAAACTGACAAGCACAAACGATAATGATATGCACAGCCAATGTCCTTCAACAAACAACCTGGTCGTTAGACCGACAGGGCAAGCTTTAGGGTGCCACTAGATACGTATCGAATAAATTGAACGATGCGAAGCATCAGATTAGAGACAGAAATGTACATGTTATTCTACAATGACGCGGATAGTAAGATTATATGACGTACTATACATATAGGTATATTTTATGGTAAGGTTCATGTGAGGCGTTTAGTATAGAAAAATTCCTTCTCTAATACACCGTTCCAATAGAATAACTAAATTTCAGTACGAACGCTATTTTCGCGATTATGCAAAAATTATTCACATTCTTTGTAACATGAAAGAGGCTTCATTTTGGCACCATATTTTAAAAACTACTTGTATGCACATTTTTATTTGAATTGTCAAGATGAATCAGTCATTGGAATTTGGCCAAGTATTTTAGTTACATCCTGTATGATAATAGTAGACTGATTTATCACAATGCAATTTCCCTATTTTTTTTTTAAACACGTTTTACGTTTCCGACAAACGTGTTCGGATACTCGTAGATATCGACTAACGCATTTATGTTGTTTATGTAAATGTGTTTTGGCATATTCTTTTGTTGTTTTTTTCCGGAAAGATAATATTATACAACACGGATAATGGTAAACTTAAACTATGTGCTTATTATCAATCTCCCCCATAATCACTATGATTATGTTTAATATAACCCAAGGTCTTGTCATTGAAAATGATTAAAAAATGATTTGCATAAATATGATTTATTAATCGACTTTTAATTCATCAGAAGGAAAAAGCAATAATTAAGACGTAACAGTTTGTTTATGAGCGAGTTTCAGATTAATTTACTATATTTACAGGGTGACCTAAATTATCTCCAGATAATGGGTGTTCCTTTTTAATTGAAAACCTGGGTTTTCTATCAAAATTACTTCTCGTGTGAATTTTGAGATTTTATTTACAGGTCTGATAGTACATAAAAAAATGGGGTAGATTTTTGAACACTCTTTTTTCCTAAAATGGACAATACGGGAGATACATCCCTTTAAAGGTATAGTATTTCCGATCCATATTGAAGAACCAAGAGGTTGGCAGTATGTACAAGGTTCGGTCGCTGACGCAGCAACTCGGCATTGAAATATTTGAAAAACTTGTTCCCATATTTATTTAGCCATACCCATATACAAGTCTGATAGCCCAGTTGAAGAACGAGCGCGCGAGCAAACGCGGCACAAACACATCCGCACTGGGCGACCTGGCCATAAATTCAATTGTCAACAAATGGCCTAGCAGTGCAGTGCAGCAATACGGAATTTGGTCTGATTCAGGTAACTTTAATTTATTATAAGCACCTTATATTAATCATTCCTATTACAATTATTGCGAAAGGGTATTTTGTTTACTAATATTATTACAACATGGCACATTGGAGACCTTTTGAAACGGAACAAAACGAAATTTACCATCAATATAATAAAATTGTTTGATTTTGATTTTTTTTAGCAGAAAACTTTTTTAGGGACGCCTATGAAACTCATTAAATTTTATTGCTAGGCGTTTTTATACATGTTCAAATGACTTCGGAAATACTATAAATGGTAAATATCCCAATTTTTGCAATATCTTAGAAATAAAATATGTTGCGTACACCTTAAGCAGTGATTATCACTATCTCACCCCCACTTTTTCAGCTTTACCACATTTTTTTAATATTTAAAAACTATTGATTTCTGCACTATTAGAAAAAAAGAAGTAATGTTTAATTTTGATGAATTTAATCGTTTTAGCGATATTGGTAGTGTAGGACAGACAGATAGATACAGCATTAATTTTATTCACTGAGACATATAATTCTGAACCCCCAACAAGCATCATCATCATAAAAAAACTGCTAATATGGGATTACCTTCATCTATAATTTGTATCCATCTTAACATCGTTAACTTTTGTTATGGAAACCCCGACTGGTTTCCGATAAACAAATTATTTGTTTGAAAATATTAATAGTAATAGTACTAATATTTTATATATGTATATTACAGAATTAGGAATCCCAGATTATAATTTCTATTATCATTGGAAAAGTTCTCCTTATACAGTTTTGTACTATGTTATACAGCATGCTAAAAGTAGCATTGACTAAATACTAAACAATATGTTTGAATTTAAAAAAGACCTCTATTGATTCAAAGATTATTATAAAAAATCAATACTTTACTGTGTTGTACAGAATAAATCGCTCTTTAGAAACTATTAAACACAAATATAAAAAGCCTCCGTATATACATGGCGAGTGGACAGGTACAATGGAGTGAATATCGTAAAAAAATTTCTGTAAAATCATTGTAGTTTCCGAGAAGAGAATTATTGAAGTTGTAGTATTTACAACCCTTACATCGTTGGGCTAGTGTAGTCCCTATTGTCATTGTCATAGAATTCATATACAAAGTATCTTGCAAACCTCCGGCAAGTCCAGCTGAAATGTCAGTCTTCGTCAGTAATACTAAAATTTACATTTTAATTCCTTGAACGAGTGTCCCCATTATTATATGAGTATTTGTTCAACATAAATACAACCCACTTCTCGTATTTACAGCGTCTATATTCTTAGTTTATGGAACGCATAGGGGATGACATTGCATTTTCATGTTACGAACGAGTTGCTAAGGAGTGACATACCCAAACGACGTTATCAATAAAAGGTCGATATTATTTAAAATGTTTTATTTATGAAGGTAACTTATGTACAAAGTATAATTAAAGTAGGTCGGAGAATTATGTAAGATTAATGAGCAAGAACTGACTGCAAAAATGCTACAAATCTATGCATTATTTAGTCCAATCAATGACCTAATGTTAAATTTACAAAAAATACTATCCGGAAACAAAAAATATGATGATATAGGAAAAAAAATTCTAAGTTGTTGTATTTTCTCGTTCTTGCTTTAAATGTATAGTATAGTTATATCGATATTTCGAAAAAAAGTTCATCTCGAAAATCGGCTCTTCTTGCTCGACGAATAATCGTAGAGAAACGAATCAGGGCTCATTTTTTTCCTTAAGAGTTGTACTTTCATGGTAAAAAAAACAGTGATAACGATTTTATTCATTTCAAGTGTCCAAAGACGACTTTAAAAAAAGTAAAAATTTTTTGGTCACGTTTTTCTTGAATATCTTTTTCGATTTTCATTTCTCGATAATGTCTATTACAGAAATCGATTGTTGGCATTTTTACGCGGATTTAGAAAAAACAAACGTTGCTCTACGACCTTCTGAAGCCGATATAATTTTTTTTTCAAAAAATTACACAGATCGCTATTTAAGTGCTACAGCGTCCATTCTTACAGAGATTGAAGTTGAAGACTTATATTTTCAATAAAAAAATACTGTGGTCCATTTTAGCCACTTCTGCATTTTTAATTGTGCGTCAAACCGTGGCCTGTAGTATTTTTTGGAAAAAAAAATATTTCGGCTCCAGAAGGCGATTCCTGTAATAGACATTATCGAGAAATGAAAATCGAAAGATATTCGCGACCAAATAATTTTTACTTTTTTCAAAGTCATCTTTGGACACTTGAAATTAATAAAAAACCATGAAAGTACAAAACTTAGGGAAAAAAAATAGTCCTGATTCGTTTCTATGCGACTATTCGTCGAGCACGAAGAGCCGATTTTCGAGATCAACTTTTTTTCGAAAAATCGATACTCGAAAATTTTTTAATATTTTTTAATATTAAAAAAAGGCACTTTTTTGCTTGCTAAGGGCTACACTTACAGCAAGTAACAAGTTTCAAAACCTTAATTTGCAAAAAATACAGCAGAAACAAAAAAGTCGATTTTTGACGTTTTTTTTTCGATATATCTCGAAATGTAATATAGCAATCATATATTTAAAAATACGAATCTATAGATTTTTTAAATAGCTACAACTTTTTCATTTAACTTTTTTCGATTGGAGTTCAATTTTTTTTATTATTATTAAAGTCGCCTTTATATCAAATGTTGAGCAATTGTAATAATATGGAGGGTTTTGATATTACTTTTTGTAATGTAAGAGATGTAAAGGCATACTTTAATTAGGTCTATTGTGTATATTCTTATTTTTTTAATTTTAATATGTATATTTTTTCATTGTTTTTGACTGTTCTGTTGATTGTTTTTATTGACTTTGACTTTTATATGTATATACATATATTACTTTTGATCTTAAGATTTTGTATTGTTTCTGTGTATTGGTCTTTTTTATTCTTTTGTAACTTTTATATTAATTTTTAGGATATATTTTTAGTGCTTCTTTCCATTAACGTATTTTTTTTTGTACTAAAACTTATCCTTTAAGTGGGTTTCACCCGTTGGATATTTTAAGAGTAAATAAAATAAATAAATAAAAAATAAATAAAAATAAAAAACCGATTTTTTAGACTTTTCTGAATTTTTTACATTAACTTGGCCATTTATGCGCTGCAGGAAAAATACACTATCTTTCTTAGAATTTTTTTCCCTATATCACCATATTTTTT